TCTCTCTCTCTCTCTCTCTTAATTCCGTTCACTCACTCATACACTTATAAACAAACATAACTCTCTTATATGGTGTGCATTCTGTCAATTCATTTCAAACGCATCACAAGTAAAGAGTATTTGCCTTTCAGTACACCATAACTACCATAACTATAGTCTACTCTCTATTCTCTCCATCTATTCATTAACATTAGCGGAGAAAAGGAGAGCAAACCTTCGTTTATAATTCATTCGTTCATCTCTTCCCTATACGACTGTCCATATTCTCCATGTGTTTAGGTTTACAGTGAAAGACAGTCCCAGAAGACTCTTCTCATTGTGAACATCAACTCATATACAAAACTCATTCAATTCGTACACTTTATAACTGTATTTGTTTTTCTCATTCCCAATGTATTGCAACTAATTTTGTATAAATAAATAAAATCAAAATTTATTTTGCAATTCATTTATTGATATATTCGTTGACATAACTCTTGTTTAGCATAACTTTCCCAAACATTTAGACACAAAATGCATTTATATTTTTATAATTTGTAAATACAAAATGAACAAATAAGTCATTAATTACTAATTGACTTTTCCTAATGCTTTTGTGTTTTTATTATTTATACTGCTTTATTCATTATGCTGTTTATATGATGTATATTTCATTACAATATCTTTTATTTAAAATCACACTACTTTTAATATTAAATATGATAAAAACTACTATATTTTAGCTAATTTTCTAATAAAAAGCGATTTAAACTAAATATTAGAACAGCATTAAAATAGTATACAAAATTTAATATAATAAAAAATGAGTTGCAAGATCTAATTATATTTATATTTATTAAATTGACCAGGTGTACTAGCCTTAAGACTAACCAGGGTTGATGTTCCCCCATCTGTCATAATTGGAAACCCAGTTTGGCTCAACTGTTCGTATGAGTTGGAGAACGACGAGTTGTATTCAATCAAATGGTATAAATCTAACGGAGAGTTCTATCGATGGGTTCCCAAAGACATACCTCCGGGACAGAAGTATGAGTCCAGAGGAATACATCTCGACGTAAGTCTTATGCATTAATTTTTATACTTTAATCATAACAAACATTTGCATATTAACTATTGCAATACAAATTGCTATTATTTTCTATTATCTGGTTTCAACACTTGTATTAATTAAATATGAGATGACTTTATTGTCTTTTATCATTGGATTTAATCCCAAAGTTAGGGCTAAACATGTTATTTATGGTCGTTATAACTCATGCCTCAAGATTCTCTTTCCTAAAGCATGTTATATACAACTTGTAGTGAAATCATTATTTAGAGATTAAATGTAATTCAAATCAATTTCTTATATCAAAGTTTGTCCCATAATATTGTTTTACACAACACTAAAGTCTAAGATTTAATTTTCAATTTATAGATAATTCATTAGCAGTTTTAGTCGTAATCCACTTCTTTTAAACATGGTTAGTGTGTGAGATAATAGGTATTGGATTTGATAAAAACCCAACTTTTTATCACAAATAATAGATTTCATTAAATATTTTATTTATTGGTCAACACATTACTACTCTTTGTGTTAGTTTTGGACATAAGACAGACAGACTCTCTCTCTCTCTCCCTCTCTCTCCCTCTCTCTCTCTCTCTCCCTCCTCTCTCTCTCTCTCTCTCTCTCTCTCTCTCTCTCTCTCTCCTATGGCATTCATTCATTCAATGATTTATTTCCTGACGATTCACTTCTTTGATTTTAGGCATAAGTCGGACAGCAATAAAATAATTGATTAGATCTTTACTGTAGACATAAAAGTCTAGAAAAAAGTAAAGTCGTCTTAAAGTTACAAAAACTCCAAATTATTTATAGACTAAAAGTTTGCGATTGAAAGTCAACAAAACTCTACTTAATTTAATTTTGCTTTTTCTTAGTTTTCTTTTTTTTCAGATTTTTATTAATTGATTCTTTCTGTACATATGTTTGACAAACCATTAATTTATAAAACATTTAACTTTAAATTACATTTTATTCATTGGATGTTAGGTTTTATTTTGTTACAAAAAGTGTTCAATAAAACGAGTTCACAGATATTTAATGAAAACAAATTTTAATTTAAATTCTCAATAAAAATGCAATTTATTTGAATATAATATTTTAAACTATATATATTTCATTAGTTTTTCATATTTATTTTGTGAAACGAATGTCTAATGAATTTGTATTTTTATTATTTGTTAATTAAAAAATTTATTATAAAAAGGGGAGAATATTATTGAGGAAATAAAACAGAATTCAAATTATGAATTGTTTGATAATTGA